CTAAATTAAACAGAATTTGCAATAAAGGAAGTGTTAACATTCAATGACTCAGAAAGTGTGTAGAAATGCTGTGTAAGTCACATGCAGGGAGGTGTATCTAGGGCTGCATAAACAAAGTGATATAACTCCTTAATGACAGAGAATTGAGCACCTCCCCTGCATGTGACATGCATAGCCTTTCAAAACACTTCCTGTAAAGAGAGATCTAATTTTTACAATTCCTTTTCTGCACAGACTAATTAATTGAGCATCTAACTCCTAAATGGCAGAGAATTGAGTAGTGAGACTGCAGGGGCATGATCTATACACCAAAACTGCTTCATTAAGCAAAAGTTTTATTGGTGACTAAAGTGTCCCTTTAGGGAACATTCCAAGCACCATACAACAAGCTGCAGTGTTAATGGTTCCAAGAGTGTCCTGGCACACCCCATTGTAAGTAGTCAAATAATTTTACAACAGTTTGATTTCTTAAATGGGTTCTGCCTTGCACTGCCCCCTTCCTTTCTATAACCAGGAGAGCCAGAAGCTCCTCCTTTGAAGCTTCCGTTAGTTAGCTCTCCTGAGCTAAGCACTGCTTAGCAAGGCTTAGCTCAGTCAGAGAGCTTACAGCTCTCTAAAGACTGTAGTGTGGGCTGAGAGCGGCCAAATGACAGACTGCAGGTAAGAAGTAAAACCACTCTAAAAAGATCACTGTAGTGAGCTGATCTGTTATGGCACTTGAAATGTTTCTTTAATCCCAAAATATGATGTTTAGCAAATCAGCTGTTTCTCTGCAAAACTGTCTAATGCCTGATCAGATCTTACAAAGAGGTAATTATATTCTCAAACATAAAGTCACAGACCATATAATTATTCACAGAACTTTGAGCTGTAGTGAATTAAAATCCGATTTGCAAATTAAATGGTAACTCCAAGCACTCTGACCACTTCAATTGTTTGAACTGATCATGGTGCTTGGAATCTGTATGTGCAGCGTTTCGCTAGGAAACACTGTACATATAGAGTTTATCTCCTCTGCTGCTGCATCACAAGAGTGCTAGGCAGCTAATATGAATCCTGTGCAAAATTGCCATTAGTGTGCATGCTGGCACCAGACAGCCAATGACAACATGACTCCCCTCTTTGTGCCCATATCTACACCTTAGTCAGATCTTCTTGACCTCAGTTATAGAGGATCGAGCTGCAGGTAGAACTTGGCCTCAGCACTATAAAAGGTGAGTTTTAGGTTTATTTTTTTTAATTTTATTTTTTATTTGAGTGGGAAGGTAATCAACACCGAAATGGTTACTCTGAACAAGACAAGTGTTCTATGAAAACACAGTTTTTTTGGTTGGAGTAACTCTCAAAGTCGGGCTAAAATAATCAAGCTGTGACCATAGCTGGATTGGGGAATATTTTCTATCAATTTTTTTTTTCGTCTTACATTTTGACATTCTGAATTTAGCTCACTCCAGTTCTGCGTTTAGTGAATAAACTCTTTGAGAGTTTCTTACTTTATGATGCTTTAGATATTTCCAAGGAATATCACATGCAACATTTTAGCCAGAAGTAGTCTTTTTGAAGAAAATTTTGTTTTTTTGTTTTTTTTGTTTTTGTTTGTTTTTTAATCGCAGCTTATTAAAGGTTTAGATAGATTTACACCACATCACACGATATGTTAAAGTACCGTATTTGTGCCTGGCATACTATATTTTAAAAAACCAAAAACCTTACACATTATTCCAGCATATCCTGACTTTTCACAAGTTGGATTCCTTATGGTTGCTGGAAACATTTCTTAAAGACTTTTGCTCCTGCTAGCTTTAAGCTGTACCTGCATGTTTTTTTTGTTTTGTTTTTTTACCTAGTTTATCAAATTTAATTTTGGGGATTGTACAGGTTAAATTAATAAAGTAATTGATGTGTTTGAGGAAGCAGTTTGATATGATGCATGTTGTATGACATGGTGTATTGCCCTGCTGGAATATCCATTTGCAAATATCTATAGTGTTTCTATATAAGAGAGACATGTATTTAGCTATGTTGTACTACTTAAATAATGGTCATTCTGTATCAAAGGGCGATGCTGCTTCAGCTTTCCGTTACAAAGAATTTCAGATAGAGGAAGGACAGGGGTCACAGCAGAACAGTGCTGGAGCACAGACTTTGAGGTTACTCCATTCATGAATGGTTTAACTCTTAAAGGTAAGCCAAGGCCAGGGACTTTCTGGCACCATAACAACTTAATTTGAATGAAGTTGTTATGATGCCCAAACTGTTTTATTATCTTGGAAATGAACCCTAAATACTACATACTATTGTCACCCATAGCCATAACCCTAATTTCTATCCCTAATCTTAAATGTCACCTATGAACCTATCTATCGCTGTCCTTAACTTCTATTCCAAAAATTAAACATTATCCCTAATAATAAATTCTATACCTAATCTTAAACTAAAATGCTAATCCTAAATTCTATGCCTAAACCTAACTCTAAATATTATCCCTAACCATAAATATTACCTCTAAATCTCACCAATAACCAGAACTCCATCTTCTACTATAATCTTAATCCTAACCCTAAATGCTCTCCCCACTCGTAACGTCTATCCCAAGTCTCACATTCCGTCTCTGTACCCAAATGTAAATATTACCTATAAATGTAAATTCTACATCTGATCCTAATCTGATATACTAAACCTAAATTCTACTTTTCCCCCCAAAACCATATACTGTCCTTAATGGCCTAAACATACCCAATCCCTAATTCTGTAACTGTAATCCTTAGTATCCTCTTTACCGTAATCCAAATTCTACATATTATCCTTAATATTAAGTATTATCAATAATCTTAAAAGTTATCATTATCCCTAAATGCAGTTCTTAACTCTAGTCTATATGGCTAAATGTAACTTTTGATCTCTCCTCTTTTTTTTAGCATGAAACCACCTATCTGGTACATAGAAAAGTATGAATACCAATCAAAGAATACTTCCTTTTACAGAAGAGTGTGTATAACAGAGTGTTTATATACAAATAAGGTGATTTCCAAGCTGCTCAATACACTTATGTGGAAGTATCCTCTATTCCACAAGACAGACTAGAAAATTATTGGTGCGGTGTAAGTGACAAGTGACTTATACCAATAAGTGGAGCGCTTAACACATATAGCTTACCAACTGGTTTCTCATACAGTGTTAAAATATAGGGTACATGTCAAAAGAGGAATATAAAAGGTACAATATAGTGCAGATGGTTTTAAGACAATAGAATTATATTAAAATTGAAATAATATCTTAATAAATGGGCCAACTGGTTTCTCATACAGTGTTAAAATATAGGGTACATGTCAAAAGAGAAATATAAAAGGTACAATATAGTGCAGATGGTTTTAAGACAATAGAATTATATTAAAATTGAAATAATGTCTTAATAAATGGAAAAGTATGTTCGAGACATGTGACATACTTTTATATTTCCATCGCTGTGCTTGCAGCCCCTCAGGTTCCGAACCACTGCTATACCTTATCAATTCACCAACACCATCAATATGGAAACCAATGCAATCACCAGAAACATTTGTTTTTAAAAAACTCTTACATCTTCGTACCACTTTTCTGATTGGCACTTTTATTAATCTCTGCCTTAGTTTCTACTATATGAGTTGGATAGAGTAGCTTATCTGGACAAGATATATCTTGTCCAGATAAGATACATCCATGTCTACTAGGCTACTATATCTTCTACGATATAGTAACCAAAAAACAAAATACCATAATTATTAGAACTGATAATCATTAGATAAACTGATTTTAGTTGATCTTGTATATTACTAGTCGATATTTTTTCAAGAGGATATCCATGTATGAATTACCTTAATGAATTCCTATATTATTAATCCTTATTCATTAATGTGTTTAGAAAACCCTTTTTCTCTTTACCTGGCACTATTGAATACAAATCATCCCCTAATATGACTTTGGAAAGTTCCAAAGATTTATTAGAATTTTATGTATTTAGATATTTATATTTATATTGTAATGAAGAACACGTGGATTTAAACATTGTAATTAAAAATTTACTTATGAAAAAAATATTAAGAAATGTTCTGTATCCTTCTGTTTGCTCTTCATTCTTACTATACTACCTTTTGTTTTCTTGATCTCACTGAAGCGTGTTTTGTCTTTCTGTCTGGTATGTATGTGTCTGTGTTTGTAGATTAGCTGGGGTGGGGGACAGGACAGGCGGGAAGTGCAAGCTGAAACTGTGGTTTCTAAATTTTCCTTTCTTCAGTTTTACTTTAAGAAAGCAGATAATGAGGAACTACAATGAGCAAAGGTTGTAGTTGTCAGATCTCCTTACAGGGAACGCCCAAACATTGTCTACAGCAAAGTTAAAAAAACGAACTATGACTTAATTACTTATGAATCCATGCTTGACTGAAACAGGCGAGCACAAAATCAACACATATAACCTGTGTGCAAGCATTATGTTTACATTATTTAACCGTTTAAGTGCTGCATGGTTAAATTAAACAAAACCAGTGTAAATGGCTTTTGAATTCCATGAACGTGACCTTTAACAGTTCTGTGCATGTTCAAAATAAGCATTATTTTTGGAACAATAAAACACAACTTACATTATAAAAAGGTCAGGCGTACTGAATTAAATATAATGAATATCTTGGGGTTCTTTTTTTTCATTAAAGTGCACTTCACATCCATGTAGAACATAATAGTATTTTGCAATCCCTTTGCCAAATTGCCAAGTTAAATTTCTGGACACAGCTGACCATTCATATAACTTTGTTAGAACTTGCAATTTTATGTTCAGCATTCCACAATGACTACCAATTAAAGCAGCACTGTAACTTGTACAGTGTTTGCATTTTTTTGTAACGACTAATAACAGAAATAATAGGTCGCGCTTCAACAAATAAATATAATATATTAGCATACAATAAGAAGCGTAGAGAAAAATTATTTTATAATTAATAGAATGAGTAATAAATAGTCCAAATACTTGGTGTACTTAAGATAAATTCCAATGGATAGATGAAGATCTCAGTCCTTAATGTTCGTCTCTTACTGTGTTCGGCAAAGGAGTAATGTATTCAATGAGAAACAGGATCTTCTAATGCGAGCGAAGTCTTGAATTCAGATGAGCAGAATAGACTGCTCAATATAAACGCACGAGTGGTACAATCCCCACCCAGGATTCTTGGCTGTATGTAGACTCCAAGGTGAAAAGTAACCGGGTACCAGGAAATTGATAAAATGAGATAAAAAAGGTATATGGCAAAAATATGATAAAAGAGCCAATATTCCTTTATTAATACAGTATAAAATATAAATAATAGCCAAAACACGTTTCGCCACACAGGGCTTTATCAACTGGCAATTGATAAAGCCCTGTGTGGCGAAACGTGTTTTGGCTATTATTTATATTTTATACTGTATTAATAAAGGAATATTGGCTCTTTTATCATATTTTTGCCATATACCTTTTTTATCTCATTTTATCAATTTCCTGGTACCCGGTTACTTTTCACCTTG